GTACATGACGTTAGGAAATGCCAACTTGCAAAAAGGAAAATATGATGATGCTATATTATATGGTAAAAAATGTCTTATCATCGCACAAGAATCTGGTGATAAAGTGGCTGAAATGAATGCGTACMTGTTGTTTGKGGATATCCATTTAGAGAAAGAAGAATATGAGGATGTTATATCCTACGGTGCAAAATGTCTTGCCATTGCACAAGAATCTGGTGATAAAATGGRTGAGATGAGTGCGTACTTGACGTTAATGGATGCCAACTTCAAGAAGGAAGAATATGATGATGCTATAACATACAGTACAAAATGTCTTGCCATCGCACAAGAATCTGGTCATAAAGTTCCTGAGATGGGTGCATACATGATGTTAGAAGATGCCCACTTGAAGAAAAAAGAATATGATGATGCTATATTCTACAATAAAAAACGTCTTGCCATTGCCCAAGAATCTGGTGATAAAGTGGCTGAGATGGATGCGTACATGATGTTAGGGGATGCCCACCTGAAGAAAGAAGAATATGATGATGCTATATTATACAGTACAAAATATCTTGCCATTTCCCAAGAATCTGGTGATAAAGTGGCTGAGATGGGTGTGTACATGACGTTAGGAAATGCCAACTTGCAAAAAGGAAAATATGATGATGCTATATTATATGGTAAAAAATGTCTTATCATCGCACAAGAATCTGGTGATAAAGTGGCTGAAATGAATGCGTACMTGTTGTTTGKGGATATCCATTTAGAGAAAGAAGAATATGAGGATGTTATATCCTACGGTGCAAAATGTCTTGCCATTGCACAAGAATCTGGTGATAAAATGGRTGAGATGAGTGCGTACTTGACGTTAATGGATGCCAACTTCAAGAAGGAAGAATATGATGATGCTATAACATACAGTACAAAATGTCTTGCCATCGCACAAGAATCTGGTCATAAAGTTCCTGAGATGGGTGCATACATGATGTTAGAAGATGCCCACTTGAAGAAAAAAGAATATGATGATGCTATATTCTACAATAAAAAACGTCTTGCCATTGCCCAAGAATCTGGTGATAAAGTGGCTGAGATGGATGCNTTGAAGAAAAAAGAATATGATGATGCTATATTCTACAATAAAAAACGTCTTGCCATTGCCCAAGAATCTGGTGATAAAGTGGCTGAGATGGATGCATACATGATGTTAGGGGATGCCCACCTGAAGAAAGAAGAATATGATGATGCTCACTCCTTCTTCACAGAAGGCATGACAATAGCGAGGAAACTAGGTGACAACCATAGCGTCAACCATTTTGGGATACGTATTAACGAGATTTATGAAATAGTTGGCATTTCTGATGGTAAATTATTATCAGAAGAAGCATTCCTGACGCTTCTGGATAACGTTCAGAAAAATAAACGTTTTTTCTATTATGTTTTTGGCTACTTGGATAATAAAGCAGAAGGCAAATACAAGGAAGCCATTTCATATCTTGAGACTTGTATAGCGCTGGGAAAAAACAGTTTCTCTAAAGCTGAATATCGTGAACAATTATGGACTTGTAACCATGACATCTCAGAGTTGCAAGTATTACTTGGGGACTACGATAAGGGTATACAGTATCAACAAGAAGCACTTGATGTTGCACGCAAAGAGGGCTCAAAGTCCAAACAGGCAAAGTCCCATTTTAGCCTAGGAGAAGTCTATTATAAACTTAAACAGTTTGAGAATGCAGAGAAGTCATTCAAAGAATCGTTAAGGTACTATGAATTGATATTTATTGGTCTTAAGCAAAACGATCGATTCAAAATAGCTTTCGTTGATAAATACAAAGAGACTTTCAAGCTGCTTCTGAAGATTCTTATTGAAACAAATAAGAAAGAAGAAGCTCTGCTATTGTCTGACCACTATCGTACAAAAGCCCTGAAAGATCTCCTTGTTTCAAGCTATGGAATGAAGAAAGAACAAACTGCTGATGAGGGTTTACAGTACGCCAATGTCCAGTCTCTTGTCTCCAGCAGTAACTACACTCTTCTGTTTTATTCGACGTATTCTAAAGAGTTGTACATGTTTGTAGTAGAGGGGAACGAGCTTGGATTTTCAGTCCAGCATTTTGAATACTGTGACTCATGCCTAGACAAGCTTGTTGATAAAACATTCGACGATATGAAAGTGCGTCAAGTAATCCACTGTGAGGACAGATCGTTAGACGTCATGCACTACTTTGAAGAAAACAAGAATCCCAAAGAAGATGAATTAACACAGCTGTTGATTCAAAGGAGAGAAAAAAGCTTATCAGAACAATGCCGTTCTATTTGTGAATGCAGAGGAAACCCAACAGAAAACAGCAATGAGAGCAGCCTGACAATTGGCCTGGAAATATTGTACAACAAGTTAATAAACAATATCAAGTGCTTGATTAAACGAGACGAAGTGGTCATTATTCCTGAAGGTCCTTTGTGCAGATTACCATTTGCTACCCTACGAGACCCAGACACAGGACAATATTTGGTAGAAACAAAGCGAATAAGAATGGCTCCTTCCATAGCATCTTTAAAGCTTCTCCAAGAATACCCAGTGGAGGATCACTCCAGAAAAAAAGCACTGATCATTGGCGCTACCTTCGTTGGTCCAGTCATGTTGAATGGAGAAAAAAGTGAATTTAAGTTTTTATATGGCGCAATAGAAGAGGCACAAGGAATAGCTATCATGCTTGGAGTTCGGCCGTTATTGTCAGCTAACGCTACGAAACCCGTTGTCATAAAGAGACTACAAGAAGGAGTGTCTGTTGTTCATATTGCTGCGCACGGTAGCCTGAAAAAGGCCACAATCGTACTTGCTCCTTCTCCTGAGATAAGAGCAACAAAGATCCCAGATGAAGAAGATTACATGCTGACTATGGCTGATGTACAGCAGACTCAAGTACGTGCACAGTTAGTTGTGCTAAGCTGCTGTCACAGTGGGCGTGGTGAGATTAAAGCTGAAGGTGTAGTTGGCATGTGTCGCGCCTTTCTCGCGTCAGGAGCTCGTGCTGTGGTGGGTTCCCTGTGGGCCATCAATGACGATGCTACAAGGATGTTTATGAAAACGTTTTACACCTATCTGAAGGACGGCAACAGCGCAAGTACGAGCCTACATCTGACGATGAACTACATGAGAAGTACGTCACAATACAGTGAACCAAAGTATTGGGCTCCTTTCTTTTTGATGGGCGATGATGTGACGATCCAGTTCTAAGATTAGCAAAGTAAAGATGAGATTGAAACATCTGACGATGAACGACATGAGAAGAACGCCACAATACAGTGAACCAAAGTATTGGGCTCTTTTCTTTTTGATTAGCAATGATGTAACGATCCAGTTCAAAGATTAGCATAGTAAAGATGAAATTGAAACATTTTTTGAGGAAATTTTCCTTTGGACATTATTTCCATAAACAGTGAGTAAAATATAACAATTATCAAGTTTAAAGATTCAAAGGACTAACAGTATGTATTCACTTTAGTGCAAAACCTGTTTTAGTTGGGAGGGGCGTAGATCAAGACCACAAAAGCTAGGTCAGTGAGGCAAAGAAAATATAATGTTCAAGATTCTCGCATTAGTCTTATTTTGTTAGTTTCCGTGTTATCACCATGTCAGTACCTCACAGCTAAAAGGGTTTTGCTACTGTATATATGATATATTTAGTGTGCGTTAAGTTAGAACTATATATACCACCAAGTCTAGGACACCGACCTTGTTAACAAGAGTTAACTGTATTGATGGTGTCACCCTACAGTCATGTAACCAATATTGAATGACATGTGACTGTGAAGGTGAAAGGGAAAGAAACCCTAAACTCTTTTAAGGACCTAACCTGCCTGTGACACCCTGATAACAAGAGTTAACTGTATTGATACTGTTATCTCCCTACGGTCATGTAACCAATATTGAATGACATGTGACTGTGAAGGTGAAAGGGAAAGAAACCCTAAACTCTTTTTAGGACCTAACCTGCCCGTGACACCCTGATAACAAGAGTTAACTCTATTGATACTGTTATCTCCCTACGGTCATGTAACCAATATTGAATGACATGTGACTGTGAAGGTTTGAGGTGTGAGGTGTAGAGTAACTGAATTAGCTCATGGTATGTTGATAAGATATTATTAGTCAGCTTTTCTGTCTTTTTTTAAACTTTTTTTAAAGACATTTCTTTATTAATGAGGTTTGAAAAATGATTAAGGATTGTATTTTGACAATACACGTCAAATTTCTAGCAAACATTAAATGCTGACCACAATTAGGTCAAGTTGGGGGGATCTTAACTATTAAGAGGACATTTTTATCAATAATGAGCAATAATGGCAAAAAGCGCCAAAAACTAGACTTTCGTATGAGTTTTGATCCCAATTATTCGTTTTGGGTTAACACTCAAAACCTTTTTTTAAACAGTTAGAAACTGATTACTATGATAAAATGCCTGTTTGAAGCGGTATTTTCAATCGTACAAAGATGTTTTGTTGCATTTGTGTTAGAATGTAACTTTGTCAGCCTTTTTTATAGAAAATATATGGGAAATAAGCAAATGAAGGCCTAAACCTCATTTTCGAATAAAATGTTTGCTTTGGGTTAACACTTTGATTCCACTTTCATCGGTCATCTCCAATTCCAAACAAATTTCTGAATAAGAAGATTTTAGCCTTGTACAACAGCATTTAGCAAGAAAATAGTTTTTGGCGCTCACTGCTTGAATACGAAAAGAATTCTCTCTTAATATAGAAAAGTTTGTTCATTGAATCTAATTTAGCCTAGGGAGAGAATGTAGGGGTTTCCTGTTTGGGTGGAGGGTAAGTGTTGCCTGTTTGATTAAGGCCCCAAGAGCTATTCTTCCATTCAAAAATGTTACTGTACATAGATACAACAATAATATTAGTTTTATCCGTTCGTTGAAACGATTTCTTAGCATGACAAAATCGTTGCATCGTGGTCTAGCTTGGGTGCACAAATCTTTAACTCACCTTGCCTTACAAGGAGTTACTCGTACCCAAGCCAGACAAGAATGATTCTGTTTAGTCTTAAGGAGAAAATATCTTTTCAATAACTACATTTGTAGCTGAGTAACGTTCAGTTTACCCTCCAAAGTTCAAAGAAAGACTGGTAATGACCTAGTGGTGCATAGGATTGTGGGAATAAATGTGGGGACGAGATCGAAATGTTCCGCCATCTTACGTCGCCCATTCAGCCCCATAATCCTTTTCACTTTAAGGGTTACGAGTCTTTCTTCAACTTTAGAAAAGTGAGGTCAACTGACCGTATAACTCGTAGAATAAAATACAATCAAGTTTTTTCTTTAGATATAGAGTGGTTTTACGACAGCCATGTTGTAGGGTAGGAACAATGCAACGTCTTTATCTGACAAGAGATTTCATTTCCCGAAGGACTTTCTTATTGCTGTTCGTTACAACATGTCTGCCGTTAAGCCCCTCTGTTGGTTTTATTTCAAAACAAAAATATACAAAAATATAATATTCACACTTTATATTCGTTAGGTTTTACAAGCCAATGCATGGTATAAAAAGTTGTAGAAAATAAATAGTGGTAAAAATAATTGCGTTGTGCATATCAAGGCTTTGAATTTGTTTTTTGTTATTTTGACTTTATTATTAAACTAGTTAGTTATTGAATTACCTTGAAGTGTTAGTTTGGTTCTTCATTTTATCTGTTATTAAGTATTTAACAAAAATATATTAGATTGTCGTCCTTTGTGTTCCACCAAGACAAACTCCTTCAACACCACATCGATATCATGTGGCTTATAAACAGCACAGGAAGCCCAAGTATGGTATTTGTGCCAGTGATAAACGACTCTTAAGACGTTATAAACGACAGTAGTGAAGACCAAGACACATTAACAGTCTATTCAAAACAGCTTCATAGATAAGGTCTTATTGATTTACTTCACCAAATACTGTAATATAGTGGCACATTAACAATGTTTGGGCTTCCTGTGTGTACTGATGATGTCATTTAACGGCCCGTCATGTTCATTGTTCTCTCTGGTGAGCGGTTCTCTGGTGAGTAGATATCTGGTGATGGGGACGATATGAACGAGTCCCGAGGGTCGCTCCGATGTAGTCGTGCTAACGCGTTCATCAAGACTTGAGAATCTATTGGACCCTTGGTCTGAGTGCTGCTGAATGGACTGGTCGACTGCAGGTAAGACACCAAAAGATCATAAGCAATGACAGTGTGAACATTATGAAGAATAAGGTTGAACCTCGAGAAAGAAATTTTGTATCTTGCTTCCAATCGATTAATTTAAGCATTTTGCCTTATCGTCCATGCATGCATGCATGCGCGCATTCCTTCCTTCCTTCCTTCCCCCCTCCTCCCTCCCTCCCTCCTTCCTTTCTTCCTTTCTCCCTTCCTCCCTCCTTCCACCCTTCCTCCCTTCCTCCCTCCTTCCTCTCTCCCTCCCTCCCTCCCTCC